CAAAAGGTTAACCTGGCATGCTTACACATTCAATCAGCACGATGTTGTTGTGCTGGTTCAATCAGCACGATGTTGTTGTGCTGGAGGCGATAGGGAGGGGAACGGGTCCCAAGCAGGCTGCTCTCGAACCAAACCAAACCCAGCTAGGGCCTACTCAGATGTCGGAGGGCTGGCAGATTTCCAGAGATGATTCTAAAGAGAAAATGAGGGTGGGTCTAGATTGTAACAGCCGGGATCTTGACCCCGCACCGGCATGTCAGACCCTAGGGCTATCTGCGCTGGGCCGCAGGGTCTGAGGTCGCTCAAATGGCTCAGGGGATCATATATATATATATAACTATATATTATACATAAATGCGTATGTATGTATGTATGTATGTATGCGTTTGTGCATATCTACAGAAACTTATAGCTGGTAAGTTCCCTGCCCAAACGCATATAGAGTACGTAATAAGTCTGTACAGTATGTACACAACCCCTTAGGCCCTATGTAGCCCCATGAGCAAGTGCTACTTCCCGGAGGTCCGAGAGGGAGAGTCCAGCGGCTTGCAGCGTGCAGGGCCTTCGTGCTAGGCAAAATTTTGCGGCGCGGGGAGGTCTGGAAACCTGGCAGTTTGCCTGAATTATCTACATTGCTCCTCAAAGTGGGGGAAACTGCACGGCTCTGCACTAATGAAAGGATATCCTCTGTGTCTAGGAGACCATGTTCTTGACACAACGAACTTAGCTAGAATCAATAGCAACCGATTGTGACCAATTCACCTACCGTCCTGTGTGTTGGTGCTCTTGCTACAAAGGCCAAGACCGTTCGTTGACTTGAACTGCAACTGTTGCTTGTCAGGTGTGCAAAGACTGCACCAGGCATGTCCAAAAATGCCCGCCTTCGACTGCCATCTTCAAGGGTCTCATAGAAAGCAGAGCTCGCACCTTGGATTTCCCAGAAAAATCCTCAAAGCACGCACGAATGCGCCGTGCTTGAGCGTCATACTGGCACAAATGCACCTAATTAAGTAATCCTTTGCAGCCAGGCAGCACTCCTCCTGCAAACGCAAGAATCAAGCTGTCTTACTTGAATAGCTTGTGCTTGCAACACACACGACAAAGCTTCTGCACACCCCGGTCGTTCGAAAGATGGGAGCATTTCTTGGAGATCGATGTGATCTTGGTTGGCGTCATCAAGCGCAAGCCCAGCACTGAATGACTTGCTGACATCAAAGCATACCATCGAGTAGGGCTGACCAAGGAGCATCGATGGCTGCGCAAAGAGCTTCACAAACACTATCCTCGTCCTCATCACATGTTCCGCAGACATGCAGGAGCACGGCTGCCAAGATTGCTTCTATCCTGTTGAAGGTTAGTTCTGTACTGCCGCAGCACACCCTCTTAGTCACTCTCCTTCGCGCGCAAACAAGAAACTACCTGGCTTGCGAAGCGTCGCACCTATCCCTCCAACTGAACAATATTCTTCCGCCAGGAACGGCTCCTGCAGAAACACATCGCCCGCACTGTTGACGGTGACGGTGTGTAGCACCGAAGGTGCCTGAGCTTGGCAGCTTCATCAAGCTGAGGGTTTGTAAGGGTAAATATCATCTTTTTACTACTGGCTCATACACATACATTGTGCGACAATTAAGGCACGCTTAGGAAGGCAAAGGATCTCAGCCTCAAGCTCAAACATGAAATGCAAAGTCTGAGCATAATTCACGCGTGTTCAACTCCTCAACAGGGAGCAATGCGCGCAGAGATTCTGGAGATTTGAAGTCGAGACTCCGAAGCCCTTAATTGGCATCGTCTTGGAGCTCTTCTAAGCTACGGAACCCAGCGAATAAAACTCATCTAGAAGCCCCCACATCTGGACCAGTGGTCGCAAAGCTGCGTGCCCTGGTGCCAATCGAATGGATTTTGTACTCAGAGCCAGAAAGCCCTGCACTCCAAACCCATGGGGAACAAACCATAGTAGAATTTGAAGTGCATTATATTGGCTCTTATACCCCAGAAGAGGAACTTGGGGCTTTAGGATAATCCACAGTACATGCTAGTGTAAACAAATTTTGTTTGACAACCCCCTTTTCGAATTGTCGGATAACTAACCAAGGCCTAGAATCTTCATACTCCACTACCATGCATCATGCCATGCCACAGCTGGTTTTGAAAAGTTCGGGCAGGTTCTACAGACATGTGGGTTATTCTCAGAATTATGGGCCCCTTCTCAAAATTATGGGCCCCTTTGGTTATGGATCTCATGGCGGCACCTAATATGTAGGCGTACCCAAATGGACCCCTAATTTTGGGAGAAACCTATGTAGGGTTTGTTTCAAAAGCTTTTCTCCAGATCTTCCCAAGCACAGGCACAAGGGAGCCACCATCTGAGTGTGCATGGTGCCTCTTTCGCGAAGCCCTGCCTTGGTGTTTTGAAACTGTCAGAGGGGGGTACGTATAATGTTCTATTATATACTATAATATACTATAATGTACGAAAGTGTATTTTCATATACTATAAGATACTATAAACTACTATTATAGTGTAGTATAATTTCCTATAGTATACAGGCTGCCACAACCATGCTAAACCCAAGGCATGCATACCATTTCTGACCGTACGGGTCTCCCTGTATACCTCAAAGCCATGGCATCCTTTTCTGCACAAGAACGTTCTGAGAGATCCAGCTGTACAGCTTACAACGACAAACAGCTGCACATTCTCAAGTTCACGGCCCTTTGAAGGGGAGGTGCACCCTGAAGCCCTTACGCTTCACTGCGCCAAGCTGCTGTGCTGCAGCGGCTCTCTCCGCATGTGCGGGCGGTGAGCGGCCTCAGTGTCAACCAGTGCAGGTCTAGAGTCTAGTGTGTCCAAGTATAGCTTGGGCGGCGAAAAGGCTTTACTTTCCCTATCACTCTCACCTGCATATTGCTCGTAGACCCCAATTCAGTTGTCAAGAGGCTCGACCTGAAGCTGCAGGCCAGTGCAGGGCTACCTGCAGGACGAAACACCTCAGGCTTTGGGATGAGAAGGTGACATTCCTGGCGAAAAAAATTGTGGGAGCTTCTTATTAGCGCTTTTAGAGCTCTTTGAAACATCCAGCGCTTTCAAGTGTTCTTTTGGGCTTTGCGGAGGCCCACTCGAACTCGTCCTTTGGAATGGTTCTGCTTGCCCTGTCAGCTCTTTCACAAAAAGGACCCTTGCCTGAGTATCGACTGGCAGGCTAGTTTTTGCGAAGTCCAAAACCGTGAAACTAAGTAAAAGACTGAACTAAAACTGGGCTGCTGACCAAACCGCAACATGCGGCATGGTGTTGGCGGTCCTGCCGGTCTGAGTAGACCCTCATGCTGTGTCTGCAGGCAATGGCAGTCCCGTCTTCAGTAGACATACAGGTGGATCCTGCTTTGTGTGCTACTTCAACCTAGCTCTGGCGGTACATCTACATTGCAGCACACAAGATTCCAGACTTTTGCTGGTGTCCGCAGTCTGGAGAACAGCCCGTGCAGTCGACAGAGTTGCGGAATTTCTCTCAGCACGTGACCAAGCCTCTGCCTGCATGGTGGAGCAGCAAAGCAGAAGGCTGGGCCATGCATTTGGAGGGCAAACGAAGGGACACAGAATCATCTCAGCCTTTCTGGAAAGATGTCCTTTTCAATGTTGCAGGTTGTAAGCATCAGAACATATCCTGCTTTGTGGCATCCAGGGTTTTGGGAAACTGGCCAAACAGTGATGCCACCACGCTCTCTGAAGTATCCAGAATTCTGAGCGCTGCTAAACACCGCTGGGAAGTAGCGGAAGAATTTGGCATAGGCTTTAATGCGGCTCCTGCAATAGCTTGCCGAAGATGGTATTTGCTGCCAGCCCGCTCCACTGCAAACGTTCTCCTCGAGATATCCTTGCATCGTCTGGCCTTTGGTGCTTAAAGGCTTGTTGTGAATGTGGAAGTGGTCCTGTCCACGCTTGCACTTCGGGTTGCACAGCAACGCGCAGCCTACCTGCAAGCCCTGGCCGTTCAGCATGCATCCTCCCCTCTTTGCGGCGGTCCACATCCAGTCCCAATCCTCAGCTCTGCTAAATCCGTCCTGGATCTCCTCCGAGCCGGTAAACTTCACTGTCGGGTCCGTAAGGTACCCATGGTACAGGTTACAGTAATGGTACGGTCCGCTGATGACATCGCTGTTGCGGCGGCGACGTCGGCTTTGGACACACTTTCGGTAATGCTCGCAGCGATGGTCATGTGCATGGTGCGGACAGTAAACAAAAACGCACGACTTTGTCTCCTCAAGTCCGACGTCATGGGAACGGTTCCCGTCCAACTTCGCATGCGAGCGTAGCTGCAGGGCCTGGAAGGAACAAGCACCCTCCAGGCATTCGTCACCGACTTCCAGAGCCTCCTGCACCAGAGCCGTGTTCTGCGAAGGTGCACAAGCAGAGGCAAAACCAAAAGTTGCCAGAATGGACAAATGGCTCACTGCCATTGCAAGAGGCTGATTGGTTCGTGATTTGAGACCAGAGTTTGAGCCAAAAATGGCTACAGGGCTACAGGGACATTTCTTTGAATCAGCATGTCGGCCAAAACTCGCTGTGGCTCAGGGGTTGTTATGGTTGTTGACTACCGGTTTTGCAGTTCACTTGCATCTCTAGGCAGTATCAAAGGATGGCTTCATAGCACTTCATCTGCGTAGAAGCATCCACCACCCAGCCCGTCCTCATTTCATATGGACTGCTTTCACAAGCAAAGGTGCGCTTTTCGTCGCATGGCTGCACGCGTAGAGTACATGCTGTACTTGCGTGCTTGAGCCACATGTTCAGGCCGCGAGCGAAACACATGTCGAAATTGAGGGAACACGATCAACCTCATGCTAGGCTGCTAGGCCCTCTCATCGAATGCGCACTTACAGTTGACATGCAGCAAGGACCAGGCCCGGCCAGGTTTCCACCGACTGCATTCAGCGTATTCAGCACACTCTCACTGCACTCATGATTCCGACGCACGACACCGTGCTGTTGGGCATCAGGCATCTACAGCAGTGAAGGCCGTGTGGTTGAGGAGGACCCGTAGAACCTGCACAGGCCCGGTTCACAGGAGACAGGGCCTGGTACGTCTGACATGCCTCAGCATGGCCATACTCAGCTGCGAGGTGCAACCTGGCCGTATGCCCGTCTGATGCTCCAAGCTATGCTTCAGCAGCCTGCAAACTCAGGTTGGGGTTTTGAGGGCAGCCTCGAACGGCCAGGATGCACTGGTTTCTTCCACAACAATTTGCTTGCCTGTTTGCTTGTTTGGCTCCTTGCTCGGCCAGCTAGCACTTCCAGTGAATGCAACTTGCAGGAAGCTCTGTGCCCGGCGCGGTGCGGCCGTGAAGCGCCCTCCTGGCTAAGCTTTTCCCAGATGCAAGGCCGCGAGAAGGCGACTCCAAACAATGAAGAGAACAGTTACGGGCTGCTGTTCTATGCCCGGTATAATGCACCACTGCACCCCATCTGGAAGCTGTGCCTGTCTGCATCGTGAAAGCATGGAGCCTCATTCACTGCCACTTCGCAGCGGAAAACCAGACCAAACGATTCTGCTACATGCACTAGACTCAGTAGATCGCTCCATAAATTGCAGGTCTACCCGAGGCTGGCGCATCCAGCAGCTGCTGACAAGCTTCCACACACCCAGCCTCGGCATAAGGACTTTGAAAGCTTTTTTGGCGGTAGCTGTTCTCTCAATGTTGAAAAAACGTGTTCAGATCAGGTGCAGCCCAGTCCCGCCTTGGTCGCACAACGAACCACAAGAAATCCTACAGATGCTCCCGCTGCTAGGTACCAGCAAAGGGTCCTCTCGAGTCGACATGCTGCACTATCGTCAGGCTTGCTGGCTTGCACAGGCAATCCCAGCTGCCAATTGCAAGCTAAGCATCAGGCCAGTGCGGAGTGATGGAGAGCAGTCCGCATATGCAAGTCCCTTACGGGCAGGACTATGCGGCCAGTGTGCCCTACCGCATTGGAGCGATGACGTTCCGAACAAATCTGACAAATGAAAACATAGAGCGAGTATGCAAAAAAAGGACATAGCAGTGGCCTCGATGATGCCAACTGCACCCCGCCCTTCTCAAGCCTCGGGACAGGATCTGGATGGCATCCTGGTTGCTGAATGTGAGCCTTGCGCATCCAAGGGGCATGATTCCGCGGACTTTGACGAGTCCTGCGCACTGCTTGTAATGGAATGCAGACAGCTGTCACCTTCAGTCCTGACGATATCCAAGTACTCAAAAGCCTTTCAAACCCAACCTCTTTGCAAGGCCCGGGTCCTGGTAAGGCTGCAGCGCGGTGCAAAGCTGTGCAGCCTTCCTGGATGGGCGCTGGGTGAGATGATTAAGCCCGACTGTTGCAATGTGTGCTTGCGACCTACAAACGCGTGCGATGTTCGGTCGAAAAAAAAAATGCCCCTTCGCCTGGTCTTTGGCATGCAGCTGCTGCGGGGTCGCGCTGCGCAAGAGCGCCAGTGCCCTGACAGCACGGCAAGCAAGAGTTGGGTAGAAAGCAGGATTGAGGTCAGTGGGGCTGCTGCTAACCTGAGAACGCTCGTCTCAACATACTCTCAGAGCACAATGTATGAATCGTTTCTTGCGGTAGCCTTACCTTACATTTACCAAATCAGATCACGCCTAAGTTTCACGGTTCATCTCAGTTGCAGATGAGGGCTTAAGGTGCCAGGTCCGGTGGTTCAGCTAAACCCTCAACTTTTTGAGGGTTTCGGGTGTTGGATGTAGGGTTTTTAAGCGCTCCTAGTAGGCGGACGAAGGCCCCAAGGACCGAGCGAGTGCCGAACTGGAAAAGGGCAACTTTGCCGCAGCATTTCTCTTTACGCATTGCCACGCTCAGTTGTCGACCGCGAAGACTCCATACCCTCATCACACTCTCCCTTGTCACAAGCTTCTCCCTGGTTCGTACCCTTACTATCACCTCTGAAGCAAAGATGGCCTCCATGACTTCTCCCCCATAGCGCTCCTTGATCCGTCCCTGGCCGATCTGTCCACAATACCACTGCTGCCAAACGTCCGTGCCCTCCTCAGACTCGAAAAACTCTGCAAGGGGATCTCCAGCTGGCTTCGGTCGAGGTACCCAACTGCCAGAGGTCTTGGGTGCTTTGCAATGGCGGTCTGATATAGCCACCGTGCTCGCTTCCGATGCCGACCTTTTCTGGCCAGCACGCCTTTCCTGGTAGTCTTTAAGGGTTTAGTGTTGGAACGGTCTTAAAAAGTCTTGCCCTCCCCGTCCAAGCTCGTCCAGTGTCCCATCCCAAATTCTTGCAAGATTTGTGCTATTGACTGACTGCTACTGGAGCCGTTTGAACTCGCCGCGCAGACGTCTGCATGATTCCCAGGCTCCAAGAAATCTGCTCCTACCTCTCCCGGTGCCTCAAGCTCGGACCCTGGCCGAGCTGCACTTACTCAATCAGGCGCCGTGACCCAAATACACAAAGAAAGGCCCTACAAACAGCATCGCAAACCTTTCATAACGTGGAGCCCTTCGCAACTTAAGGCGCCTCCCTCCAAAGCTGCAGGATCCCTTCTCCAACCGCACAGTAAACTGCGTCAAACCAAGCCCACATCTGAAGATCATTCTTGATTCCCCCTGGGCCTGGCTGGATCCTCTGAAAGCACTGCAGCGAAAAGAGGATTGTCGTCAGCGAACCTTAGAGATGTCGGATTGACTCGGAAACATGATTGAAAAGCCTCTTGGATGCTGTCAGGTTTTTGGGAGAATGTGTTTGGACTGTAGGGGATGCTGTTCATGGCTCGTGAGAAGGTGCTCAGGACTTCGGCATACAGAACTAGGATCCCCAGTGATCTAGATAAAAGACTTCTGAAAAATTAGCTCCCCTTTTTGGTAACAACTTGCTTTGCAAGGGAACCTAGGATCACCCCAAAAATGGAAAACGCTACATAATACAGTAGGGTAAGAAACTAGAAGCACCGAAAGAATCCTTGCCAACTCTTCCACTATTGTTTGTTGGCAACAGTTTGACCCATCCTCACGCCTGTGCCATGACCAGCCCCTGACCCAAAATCACACTTTGAGAACATTCCCCAAAAACTCACTAAGACCTCTAAAGCTGGGGCGAAAGCTCTGGGGCATCGAGCTCGGCGGACGCACGCTCTGCAGATGCGCGCTCCGATGGTGCGTGCTCCACAGGAAAGCGCTCCTCCTGGCGGCTGGGCCGCCTCGCCTGCTCGCTCTCTGAGACAAGGATGTTTACTTTTTGAATTTCCGGATAAGCAAAGGCCAAAGGTTGTCGGGAGTCACTCTTTGATCAAGCTTGCACCCAGGGTCTTATCGGGAATTTCATGGGATGTTTGGCCTTTGCCTCAGCGTCCACAAGCTCTAAAGGGCACAACGCCATGTGTGACAAAGCAATCTCGCCTAGCCGCTAGTTGACTTACCAGAGTTAGTCCATGTTCGAGGTAAGTTTTCTGCTGTTTCTCATGCAGAAGCCAGCTTGAGCTTCAAGAGTTACTTGGGTACCTGGGTGAGCCATGCACGTGGTTGACTACCAAGACATGACTGCAACCCCCTGCTGTGACTTGAACAGCCCAGTGCAAACGCACTTGGGCCTCCGTGCTTTCACGACTGGACCTCCGCGGTGGCCTGGCAGTGGCGACCTGGTCATCAATTGGAGTAACAGTGATAGTAAAAATGAAAACAAGAAGTGGCGGGGCGGTGGTGATGGCAGTAGCGGTAGTGGTGGTAGAAACTCCCCCATCGCTGCTTCTGGTACTACCGTCACTGATGACAAAAACATTCCTAATGCTCATCGTGGCTACCAACTTCTCGAAGATGATAAAGATTGCGCAGAAGACCTCCCGAAGGCACAGCCCTGAGGGATTGGCCGTGGCGGCCGCAAACTCCTCCCGACTCACCTGGAAGGGTTACCGGGTTTTGACAAGAGACAGCACTTGATGCCATCCTTCATGCAATCCAAACGAATTCATTTTCAAGCCAAGGCAGGTTGTGAGATCCCAACTCGGCCGTCCAGGTCTGCATCCAGCTTGTCGAAAACATCCGCCTGGGACTCTTGGGCTTGACTTAGGGGCTTTCTGGTCAAGAAGCGGGGAGTGCGGGGACGTAATCTTTACACTACCGGACTACTTCTGGGATTACGTGGGACCATTGAGTGATCTAGGGGGCTTCGAGTCTGGAATGTTAGTTGTGCAGAGGTTAGGTGCGTCAGGTGAGAAAATTTGTTGATGGGCTTCCGGGTGATGGCGGAAACTCAAATCAAGCCTGATGCATAGTCATTAAGCTGTCAGAGTCCTCCTGCATTACCCTCAGCAGAGATTCTGCGAAAGTCCTTGCTGAATCATCCCAACGCATCGCCTTCCCCTTACAATGAGACTCCCTGTGACAATCACCAAAGCCAATACAAGTTTATTCTGGCTCTAGGAAGCTGCGACACCCTGCGCTCAGCCCATTGACAGCCGATCAACCCGATGTTGCTCTGGCCAGCCTTGTGCTGGCCGTCCGCCACCTGGCAACAGTCAGGCCCTCCCAATCTCTGCATCAGAAGACAAAGCAAATTCCACCTTGGCTGCGTGGAACTCGTGGAGGCTGACGTCGCCATCCCCGTTTGCGTCCAACTGTGCGAAGAGGGCTGCCTGTGCCACGAGTTGTGAGGTGTAGGGCAGCAGTAGCAGGTTCGAGTTTGTCTCTGCGTGCTGCTGTTCGACGCATGAGCTACCATGAGTTGCTGAGCAGCGGGCATTTCGGCCCTCTGGGGACGTGAGTCCACCCTGCAGAACTCCATGGAAAACTCAGGTGGAATCGCCGTAACCACCACTTCCCCTCACTCAATTTGGCATCCGTCGGCATCCTGCAGAAGCGCTTGACAACCCAACTTCCAGAGCTGCAGCGCACCATTGCCGCATTGCTTGGACTGCTGGGCGACATCACCTGCAACTGATGTTGACCCTAAACACCCTCAACAACAAGCCCTTCATGGTTGTGGCATGAAGCGCGCAAACGGGTGCGAAAGTGGGAGCCTAGCCGGAGAGGACACAAAAAAAGGAGTGTGGCAGATGTATGCCATGAGGAGTCTCTGCCATCCTGGCAGGGTTGAGCTCTGCTTACCCTATTGACCATGCCAAGTGGGCACACACTGCTCTGTACCGACTTTGCAGTCTACAAGCTCCAGTACAGGGACGCGAGCTCTTCACATGAAAGGCAGGACTGGGAAACCAGACCCGCCCTCCCGATATGAGAACTGCCGGGACAGAGCCAAGATCTCATCTTCAAGCCATCAGGTGCAAAGTTTCCCCAGAGACTATGTTGAGGGGTTCAGGTACCACCACTGAAGTAGTGGAAAATCTCAGAATAAGATGGGCTCGGCAATTACAGTGGGATCTGCACTTTGTGGCCCAGGCCTGACCCTGCACGCTTGGAGACAGCGACTTCCTGGCTCGTACTTTGCAAAGCACGAAGCTTGACTGTGTGTTCTTAACAAGATCCTACACAAAACTGGATATGCATGGCTAGCAGTAGGCTCTTTCATCACTCGGCAACGGTTATCAGCCCTACTATCTGCCAAACTTCCTGAAGCACAGATCTTGCAGCCTTGTAGCGAGCAGCAGAAGCAAAATTTGTACAGAACTCAAAAGTAAAACAAACAGTCTGCTTACCCTAAACCCTCATCTCCACCTGGTCCATATATTTATAACTCGAGATTACCCAGACAGATCCTCCTGAGACACAACACTTGCTGCAGCCAGGCAGCACGCCGTTGTCATCTGCGTTCCTCACTTGCAGCACCGAAGGCTCTCATGGGAATCAGGATGAAATGACTCTTGATGGCACAACACCAGGTCTCATGTCTGCAGCAGGAATGGAAAATCACTCCAAAAACATGTGCAATAGCAGCGCTGGCTAATGTGTGCACTTGCCTGGAGAGCTGCACTGACAGGAACAAGGGGACAGAAAGCCAAAGAGTTGCTTGCCGAGCATCGCAAGGTCTAGACCCAGACCTCAAGGCAAACATGGTACTCACCATGCATGCACGAAAGGAATCCGGCAACCGTTCTCCTCCTCTTACCAGTAGTACTCTAATCTCCTCCAAGAAACTCAAGAATTCCTTGTTCAAAGTCTGCATTGATATCATGTAGTGTGTTCAGGGGGTTTGGGGTTTGGGATTTAGGGTTTAGGGTTTAGGGACAGGGTCCGACGTGAGCATGGGAGGAGGAGATTTATCGGATCTGCTGCTCCAGGCCCTACTCACTATCTTGGTGACCTAGTTCTGGGCCTGCTGCTGCTGCTGCTGCTGCTGCTTGTAGAAGTTGTGAGATGGGCGTATGAGCTTGGCCGGAAACCAATAACTCGACACTTCGGGGATGCAACTTGCTGTTCACTTCGGAGGGCGCACAGCGCGCACAGTTTTACAGCGGCATCAATGCGTTAAGCTTCCGGAGTGAGGTTGAACAGCCTAAAGTTGTCAGTTTCCGCTTGGAGCACTTGCACAACCAAAACAAAGCTCTCGGATGAAGGTTTTGAGCTTCACAAGGCTTGGTGTGAGCTTGGAGCTTGTGCAAATCCAATGTAATGGTTTGCAATGCATGTTTTAGGCTTTGCATGTGCTCAAAGCCAGCACAAAGTTGTGGCTGATTCAGGCTTTGGGAGGATGAAGTTGTGGAACGTCTGCTTTTTTTTCAAGTTTGTTGAGATTCGGGCTCATAACGACGCTTGTCCTGAGGCATTGGGATGGAAACTGCCAAGGCCCAGGCTTTCGCTAATGGCCTGAGGCAGGCAGTCAGCGGATTGAACTAAAGAAAGCTGCGTGATTTGACACGGAGTTCGGGACCACAACTTTCTTTTGCTGGCGTTGAATCGCTCTTCCTGCTGTTTGTGTTTCTGAATCACATTACATCACATGTTACAAGAAGTTGGGACCGCGGGACCAAAGCTTTGGAATCGTTCAGCGAAAACCTTTCCGCCCAGAATTGGGTTCACACTTCCCAGTGCCACTGCCTGAGGGCATGTTTTTCCCCCATGCGCACATGCCCACGCCACAGCCTCCACAGCATCTCGAAGCCAGCGAGTGTCTTCTTCGACAGCATCGCACAGCTTGCGATGGTCCTTTTCTAGAGCCTGCAAGCATCGAGTTGTGCATGCAGCATTAAATAGAATCCATGCGAACTTCGCCTAAACACCTTGAGCAAAGTGTTACATGTACTGTTCTATGCGTCTAGGATCTAGGAAGAAGCTGCTGGAGCAGCTGCCTGCAGGCGAGGCAGGACTCGGATGTCCTGAGCTCAGCTGGCTTCATTTGTGGTTCCTTCCCTCGCAGCTGCATGCAGGACTTGATATAAACCACATAAACAGCTCATCTGCTCACATCTGCTCATCTGCTGAGCATGCAGCTGGCAGAAGCTACTGAGGACGAGGCTCGCAAGGCAGTCAAAACGGCGCCCTCTAACTCGGCCTTGACCTCACACGGCAACTTCGCTTTGCCGGCACAGTCACCTTTGGCTTGTTTAGCTCAACGTCCCTTACAGGAGTCAGGCCGAGTTTGGAAACTCAAGTCAAGGTGCTGCCTGCACATCACCGACGTGACAGGCTTGCAGAGCTACACCAGGCAGTCCTTCTGCTTCTAGAATTACTTTCTTGCAGCTACGCGGGCATCCTTTCTGGAGAGTTGCTCTTGTAGTTGGGTTTGGAGCTTCCGTCGCCTACTGTAACTTCTCCATCTTGCTCGGCGCTGGGAATCTGTAGAGGATGTTGCTGCCGCATGATTCCTGCAGACTTTTGAAAAATTTAGCACACCTTGAGGTCTGTGCAGCGCTTCAGGTCTGAGTCTGGAAGACTGGTCTGTGGAGCTAGAGCGCTGCCTCTTGTTACCCGGCTGGCAGGGTGCAAACTGAAAAGAAGCCCCGAACCCAAGACTTGCTACTCCAGGCATGCCACCAAATGGCACACCTTGAGTTGCCTGCATGCAAAAATTCCCATCCCAAACCGGGAAAGACTCTGCTCCCATCGCCCTTTTGCAGCTTCCAATCTCTTGAGGTTCAGGCAAAGGCCCTCAGCCGGCCCTCGAGGACGCTGACCGAGGAAGCCTGCGGCGTCTGGGCTCAGAGGATTTTCAGGTTTGGAAATGTAACCTGGGTAGACAAGCGTTGCTCCGGGTGCAGCGGGTTTGCACGGCTTATAGGAATCCGAATGAACCTTCCACAGCCCTTCTCCAAGCCTACCCTGAGGCCTGGAGGCCCTACACGAAGCTCGGATATGCCACAGCCCCAACCCCCGAGGTGGAAGCATCCTCAAATTGCAGCATTCCATATTTGACCCCGGCAGTGGCAAATTAAAGAACTCCTGCATGCTAGACCACGAACCCTGACCTGGAGACCGATCAGCTTGCTCTCCGACTTCACCAGCGCCTCATGACACTTCGGGCAATCCAAATTGCTGAGTAGCCAAGTAAACAACAGCCAAAACTTTGATGAGAGAAATTAACGGCCGATTTTCGGATAGTGAACCATCTGCTGTCGTGACCGCGTTCACATGTCCAGGATGCTGAACTTCAGTGATTATTTTTCTACTTCTCTTAGCTCGTCTGCAACATCCTTATGACAATGTGAACCACATGCGGCTGGCTTCCGGAGTTAGCAGTAAGTTTGGCGAAGGCTTGGATCTGGCCGGTGCATGGGGCATCCAGGCCGTGGGGCCAAGAAAGCATTCTGTTACCTGCTGCTTTCTTTCCTGAAGCAAGAGATACTCGCCAAGCTCCGATGTCTGCAAGGTGATACGTTTGAGTTGGTGGTGGAGCAGGAGCGTGCATGTGACTGAAGACGCGAAACAAAACTCCATCGTGTCTGCCCCTTTTTCCCGGGTTGAGACCCCACAGCTCTTGCCTGCTCCATGTTGTAGGAATCCATGGCCTTCGCAACAATCAACCCCTCCAAGGATTGTCTGGGAGTACACGGTGGTCCAGCGGGTTTTGGGATGCTTCTGATGATTCAGTGTTCGGCTTCTGGCTAGTCATGGCTAGTCCACACAAGCCAGGGCTTGCTTTCCATCAAACGTTTTTGACCAGGAACTCCTGGGATCAAGAGATCTGCTGGCAACCAAGCCCCAAATCGTTGCACCAAATTCACGATTCCCCCCGCTCCCAAAACAAGCATTGGTCAACCAATTCTAATCCCCCTTTGCAATCCACTTGTATCCCAAGTAGTTCATCCCGAAGTTCAATGGGCTCATCTTTTCTGTTGAACAGGCTACATACACTTAAGGATTGCAAGAGAAGGGGTTGGGGCATCCTGTTTAGAGCGATCTTGAGTGACATCCCTATTTGCAGATGAGACCTCTGTCCAGGTAGTTGTCGCATCTTTTGGGACCCCTATGCTTGCTTTGAGCTGGCCTGCTTCTGCAGTGTTTCAGCAAGGCGGGCCACCATTCCCACCTGAGCAATGAGCCATTGGATTGTGGATTCTTTGCTTGGTGTCACAACAAGAACGGCTCCATACTGATGACAACATGATTTGTTGGGGTAGTATGGAAGACAGAAAACCCTTCCCAGCATTTGTTGCAGGCATGCTTGATGTGCTCTAGGTCTGCTTCTCCTTCTGGCATACGTGCAAGGTTGGTGCTGTGTTGCCCCATCTGGTCAATGGCCACTTACATGGCATCATTATTCAAGGGGGGCAAGGTGAAAGGGACAAAGCGCAGTTCACGCGACAACGGTCCTACTGCTCAAAACCAAGGAGTATTGGCCCTAAGCTC